GAACTGGATCGCTTGCGCTGAGGTTAGGCGAAAACCGCCATACTGTCTGTCCAAGTCTGCTAGGAACAGGTGCTTGACCTCCGTGGTCTGGGGCTGTTTGATTTACCATTCACATGTCGTCCGGTGCACTATTTCGTCTCACTTGGTGGCGATTGTCCACTGCATCGATGCTCCCATTTATTTTCTTACGTATGATACCATAACACTATTTTGTATAGTAACATGTTCCGCCAGCTGTCGCACATCCAAGTTCTGACACATGCGCTATAAATGAACGGATTCGGTTTCAGATAAATGTGTAGAAACACTAAATACAATTTCACAGTATGTCCAAGTCGATAATTGCGGTGTCGCTTTAGCATGAAGGTGATCATGTTGACAAATTTCGTCTTTCTGCACCATTTTTAAACGACGAACAGGCTTCTAGTTGGTGATTGATCATAATGTCAATACACGGTAGCATGCACGACAGATAAAATGCATATTAGGCGAATGGGGAACTGGATTAAAATTCCGTCTCTTGACTGAGTTTGGAAAAAATTTGTTCAATCCTGAGCATCCATTTTGCACCGAAGTGGTTGAAATTAGCATAACCCAGTCCGATAATAGTTCTCTAGCACAGTCGGGAAAAGCTCGCGTCAAACAATTTTCAGCGCCTCAACGTTCGATATTGCTGAAGCGACACTGGAAATCTGCACATTGATAAACAGCGTTTATCACGGTTGGTTAATCTGTCGCCAAGCCCTATCCAAGTCGAAGCGTAACAAGTCACGGCAGAGTTTTTCGGTACAGTCGTACCTTGCTTGAGTGATATCAGTCGTAGAATCGATCTCTCCCGTCTACAAAATTTGGAAATCACAGTGTTGTAATTGCACTTGATCGGTTGTTCTATCTAAAGTTTGTGACATTATAGGTCTGAGTTTGGCGTGACCGGGCTCCATCATTGTCCGGTGCATCCTTATTCTGTCGGGTGCGGTACATCACTTCAGGTTTTACTGTCTCATACTGTGTTCTATTCAATCGTACGCAGTGAAAACATTCCTTTTTTGTTTACCGCCTGGATATCAGTTGGTCATCCGGAAATGGGTATGCATATGCGTAGGGGAAAAGTGGTTGAAACACTTCTGTGAATGTTCCCCGCCCCTCCTGCCCTGTCCTGCCCCTGAAATGACCACACAAATTCATTGGAGCACCTGGTGTTATGTATTCCTATTCGTATCCAGTCAGGTTCTCGTGGTTTATTTATTAACTGATATCAGTGGTTTTGTTTTCCATAGTCCGCTGTCCTAAGTTTGCATAATTCATAACGGAAGCGATATTGAGCGCATTGTGTGTTGGACCATACAATTGGACAGTAGCTTGCTTGTGCGTTCCCACTGAAATATCTCGCTCATGTTTGTTTTTGAGAATGGAAACAAAAGTATCACTTTTGAATCCTCTATCTAACTTATACCATAGGAACCACAGTTTTGACCATCCGTGGGACAAAGTGAGAATTGAGAGCAGAATTGAAAACGAAATATCAACTGAATAAGACAATAGCTTTTGCTCAAGTTCACTTCTATGGCTGATTGATGTAGGCTGTGAAAAAGTGGACTAGTGCGGGGTCGTACTTCCTGCCACAAATTTTAATAGAAACGTAGCTTTTTTCATACTTGTTCCAAGTGCTCCGGACTATTTTCCTTAATCGGAATCAATGCTCTAGATTATGCTATAGTCTACCTGTCAATCGTTCTTCAGATCGATTCTGTTTGGGTCTACTAATCGATCAGTGAACTGTTACTTTTATCAAAAACCACGAAACAGGAGTTGTATGATGTAGACCGCTTGATGACTGAATCGCTTCGCTATCAACTTTTAGCCAATCGATTTATAGAACCCAAGACTGCTCAACTGCTTAAATTGCACTCGGGTTTTGGTAGAGTTCTCATAGCTCTCCTAACTTCTAGCCTAGTTGAGATAATATTGAATTTCCCCACACTTTTTGTCTGACGGTACTTCCATGCATGACTGGTGTTTTGATTGGAGATTTTTCCCTCTCCCCCAATATCGGTCGACTAACTAATCACTAAAGTTGTATTAGTCTACCTCGTTATTTTTAAGAATTTCCGGGAACTGCATCAATTAGTCCGACCATGACTGATTTACGCTTGAAAAAATTGTTGTCTTCTGGATTTCTGTCATCGTCTCTTTCTGGTTATTGCCATTTTCAATAACCGGCACTAGGTGTCGTCCACACAGTGCGTACCACATCAACACATGATCCTCCAGGATCAACGTACCGATTCCCACATGTCACGAATGACCCACAATAAGTAGACACTTCTTATCGGCCACCGCTGCGACGGAGAATTTCGTAACCACCTTTGCTCCCTGGACTAAACCTTCGGAAAGCTTATCTCTACAACAACAGCAAAGTACGCCTGTCTAGACTAATCCATTTTTGGCTATTACACAACCGTAACAGGAAACGTCATAAATGTTTGGATATTTTTGTTCCCTCACCACTGTTAGGTCTTATGAGAAACATAAATCATGTTTGTAAACATAAATTCTTGAATACCATTTCGTGTTTTTTTATCTCTTGGAGTGATTCCTTCTAAGATTGATTCGTGTGCTCTTCGACACTCTCGGCATCTAATTGCGAATTCACTGAGGGTGCTTTCTCTCAAACTTTGTTGTTCTTTTAGCTTAGAAATTTTTTTTTTGTCCCACGTCTGATGGAAGCTGTTGGTTCATTTTCATTTCATCTCACCGGCGGTATTTTGCAAACGTGCTAGCTAAAAAATCCAAAAATCCCATCGTGTTGTGTGTGTGTGTGTAGTGTAAAACGAATGGATGAAGTTCAATCAGGATAATCCCATTTGGAATGAGCACTAGTGCCGCGGAATATTAGTTCCAGTGCTGTCAGGATCTGTGTATTGTGGGTGTTTTTTCTTACCACGAATCCAATAGAATTTCCATCTTACACGTGTCCCATGGCTCGTTTTGCTAGAAACAATGAGTAGCAATGTAGTAGATGTTGTAAAACTGGACAAACACCGGGATCGAGTGAACCTAAATAAGCTTATCCGGAGTGAGTTTTCCCTTCTTTTACACCATTGTCTCGTGTTAAAAAATAGGTAGGTTCCATAAACATCCTACTACTCCATAGAGATGCTCGAGAATCGGACGACTAGCAGTGTTTCCAGCTCCGTTCGGTCACTTGATTTGAAGTTACTTCTAACCTTTGCACATCCATATACAAGATGCAACACAACAAGCTTGTTTCAAACACACCAGTGATCAGTAGTCTAAATTCAAATTCAAATTTTTATTATGGGATATAACTTACAAAGACTTCGCTTTTTCAAATCCCAGTAACCGGAACGGGCTAAGAAGGCATAGTGGTGTGTCACATTCACTGAATCCGGGTACTTTTTCTAGCGCTTATAGCTTTTTATAGGAAAGTGCTAACCTAACAAAAAACTTCACTTCCTCGAAAAATTTTCGCTGCTTGTTCCCGGCTGCTTATTTAGTGAGCCGTTCACGCTCGGTCGTCACTTTGGTGGCGGTTGCTCTGACCGTGACCTGGGTATGCTCCATGTGGCCTGGAGTTCAGCTCATAGAATACTGGGTGAAAGGCGAATATATACTGATCTCACCTTATCTGTACTGATGTAAATCATAGCTTTTGTCAAACAGTTCAGTATGAGGGGCTGTTTTTCGACAGTGAAGGTACCACTCAAAGAGAAGTTAGAATTAAAATCAATAAATAAGTAAGTAATTTTCCTTGAAGCTGCTAACGAGTATGTAATATGTGATGTGAATCCAGTCTCGTTACTCACTTTCAGCTTCGTCATTGCATGTGTTCTTTTTTTCCTTAAGCGGACAACGTGCATCATCAACCTCGACAAGTTCGTCGGCGAGACTTCCGCATGTTCAGTATGCCTGACAAGCAGCGCTATTCTCGTTTATCACCGCAATTGAAAATCGCAGCTCTACGACACCTCGCATCCAGTAAGTCTCCCCCGTCCCAACCCTGGGTCCCTGGCGGTAATCTTTCTTGCTGTAATATAGTTCACGAGATGGTGATGAGACTTCCTGATTTGTTGACGCTTTTCTTTTAGGAAATAGTTTTCTGTTTTAACCAAAGCCTAATGCTTTTAAATATGCGTAAACGTAATTCCAACTTAATCTTCACGCGCAGTCATCTTCAGTATTTAACCCCGATGATCGTCTAAATTGGCTGTACACTGTAACCATTGTTCTCGATGTGCAGACAAATCGGAATATCGGTTTTTCCGGGTGCCTATCACTCCGCTCTGGTACCTATCCAGGTAACCAAACACACTCACATACTGTCGTTATATCCACTCGTGCGCTGCTTACATTAGACCTGTGCGATATTTTACTGTCAGCAATAACGACATAATGGCTAAACTGTACAATTGGTAGGGTTGTTTGAATGGCTTGGCACATTTTTACTCAAGCAGCTATCTTACACCGAGAAATTGAACTCCAAACTGATTGCCACCTGTTTCGCCAAGGTTAGTGTTAGTTTTGTGCGTGAAAGTGAGATCTCAATGTAGCACCTTGTTCACCGAGATCCGCGTGCGTGTCACGGAAACCCAATTGACATTTAAAGTACAGGCTTATGAATTCTCAGCTTGGGACGTCTGCCATCGACTCTTTCCTTTCAACCAAATTAATAAATGGAATAAAATCAGGTTTATTGGTAAATTTTGATATGACCGACCCCTTCCCTATCTTCATTATCGTGTCTATTTGATGGAATAACCGAATCAGACAGAATAGACCTCCGCACTGAGTTTAATATTTGCCTCTGCTACCTGAGAGTAATCAGAAACATCATGTGCACCGATTTCTCGCTTCAGTCGCAAAAAATATGTCAAACCGATTAGTCCACTGAAATGATTCAGGCGCAGATCTGTTTACCTGAAGTCCACGAAACTTGCCGAATTCGTGTTCATCAATGATGGATAGTGTGCCCAATCGTTGGTGCACTTTTTGTTAGCAATAACTGAGATATTTTTACACGTTTCACTTTATTATTTCACATTATTTCTACAGATTCCTTACTGATAGGCGATAACAAAACAAGTGGTTAACGTAATAGAGATTTAAAATGCCATCAACACCATTCAGTCGAATATCGAAAATAGTTTTCGTGTACTCAATGCTACAAAATTCTTGTTTGGGATACATGATCGACAGGTGTTGATAGAAATATAAAAGAGAGATCGATGCTAGGCAAACTCAATGTGCGCGTGGTGGTTGTCGAGGCTGATGATAATGATGAATCGACTGCATCTTATTTAAAATTAGCTTTTGCGTTGCATAATCCATAAATAAAAAAAGTAAAGCTATAAAAAAGGATTAGGAATTTACATACGAACATGAGATTCGATCAGTTGTTTTATAAAGTTATTATGGTGTCATTACAATTTATGAAACCCAGGGGAGAGAATAATTGTTTCGTCATTGGCATATGTATGTATACCTGTTGTGTACGTGTTTGTGATCTTAGAGTAATTTACTTGGCCGCCGTATAGTTGCGCATTGATATTTTTTCAGGGTGTCTGATTCTTTTGGAATAAAAAGGCATACAAACTATCACGTTTCTCTCTCATTTCATCAAACAGTCTTGTATTTTTTCCAAACAGCCCTCATTAAACGCTCTACGTTATTCCAGATAAATACCATATTCGAATAGGATAGACGCTGTTTGTTTATGTAGATGACTGACTTTCAGATATCGTGCTTTCGTCTCCCGGATGTCTTACTTAGTCTTGCCTCCCCATCTCAAATTGAGGACAGCATTTTGTCGCACTCGTGTTGAGTTTCAGATTTGGTATAAACATGGTATTAATTTTTTTCGTGGCCAACGAGAACAAAATCGTTCTCTCTCTCTTCTACCTCTTAGTCTTGCTTGTTTCCTGTGCATACGTGCACTGCTACAGGGGTAAACAATAAACCCACCCAGAGTATACTTATGTACATACGTACGTTTATGTATGTATGCATGTGTGTGTTTATTTGTCTATGTTCGTATTGGAATTTACTACTTGTTAATTTCTCGACGGAGACACTCGAGCAGAATTAGTTTTACCCACCTTCGGCAGCTGTCATTTCATCAAGAAGTTTGAATACACTCATTTTGAGGTGTATTTACTGATTACTGCTTAAATCACGGAATGCCGCAGATGAGCTCTCTGATTGCGAAACAAATGAGGTTTGTTGAGTATAGTCGGTTGACTTGGTGCTCCTTTGTTTTCCCCCAAATGTTTCGCCATAAACTCAATTTTTTTCTATATCATGCATAATTCCTGGAGGTCACCCTGGAGCCAACCATATTCTGTTTTATTTTCTTGCGGTGAATATTTTTTTAATTTCCCAGGGCGAAAGCAGCAAATTTGTCGCCACGGACAGCTTGGATCTGAGACTGAACACGGAATAATGCATTTCAAATTATCATAGTTCCTCATGAATTTCATTCTTTAAAGACTAACAAGCGGTGCGAGCGTTGGTCTCTCACCGAGGCTCTTTATCTATTCCCATTATGAATTTCCATGGAAGTGCTGAAGATATGACGTTGGATGAAATTAAAACTGTTTGAAATATGAATTTCGGTAGTCTATGCGTCAGTAACCTTCAACTCCTTGTTTTGTCCGCAGACGTGGAATCATTCCATGAACAATACATTTGCTATTCCGTTCTGCAAAGTTTTCTCAATGCGAATATCGTGGGTGAATGTATTTTCAAGTAAGTGCATAGTAAAATTCATCAACCGACTTCATATACTTGTTAGTCTACCCCTGTCGTTTTACGGGTACTGTGGGTTGACGTTTTAGTGTGTTTCAATATGTGTACTTTCCTATATGGTTAAACAAACCTTGCATTGTCATTCTTTGCCTGACCTCTATCAGTCATCCCTAACCGGGATCTGAGGATGTGTGCAACTTTGTTATTGTTGGTGGTAGTGGTTTTTCGACCAGTGTGTGGCGTGTCTTATTTGTGCCGCTTTTGGTTCTACTAATCTATTCGTTTTTTGAGGTTTCGTAATTCCAGGCGTGTATCATATTTTCTGATATCTGACCGGTCCTGAACAAAACGTATCCTGCCAGGTTAACGCATGGCTACGCATTGTTCTTTTATAATGGGGTCTGATCTGTGTGGTTTTACTGCTGGATCTGAGGCTTCAAATGCTTGGCAAATTCGCAATCCCCGAATGAAAGCTTTTTCTCCAAGGCAAATTGTTTTCCCAGGCATGCATTGTCGGGTAGTCGGCGGGAAGAGCTACGGACCAAGTGAGGAACTATTCATAAGTCGTTGATAGGTTCCGACTTCAGAGGGGTTAGCTTTGTTTGAAACCAGATACTGATCGCACGATACTAAACAATACGACTCTTAAATTTCGATATCTACTCTTATGATTGATGAATCAGAACTGATGTTATGAAAACGGAGCTATCTTCACAGAACTGAGGAACGCTTCGGACCGTTGGCTGTTCCAGTTAATTCGTTGCAGACTTGTGTTTTCATTCATCATTGAACATAGTTGGGTGTTCCTCTCGTATCCTGTTCTTGAAATATGATTTTAAACTGTGTAATAAAAATAATGCTAAAGTGATAATCTCCCATTTTTGTTCTATTTATGCAATGTGCAACATTGCAGTTGGGGTTCAGCGAGGCGGTAGCGGTCGATTAAAGCTTGTCTGAAGACATACACCAATAGGCCATTTAAACGGAGATAGTGGCGGGATTCGAGCTCTCGTCCCTCGAGCCGTTCCGTTGATGACCTGTGATGCCCTGTGAACAGCTGGCAAGCTCTGTGCAGCTGTGTAAACATTGTACAGTACTTTCTAAAACTTGTGACTAAATGGTCTCGTGCGACCGCTGATGTCACGCGATCGTAATAGGTCGATGTGCTCGTGTTCGCTCAGTATGCGGTGGGAAAGGCGCGAACATTCAGTCACACAATACTGGCACATACTGTCGAATTTCTGCATCGGTATGTATCCACAGATTGAAAATTGCAGGCTGATTGCGGGTGTCTTCTGTAAATAATGCTCATCTTTTGTTTCAAATCACACAAAACCTAAAATGTCCACGTGGTTCACTGTTTCTTAACTCTCGGTGAGACCCATAAGGACTCACGTTTACCGCGCTTTATTTAAGTTCGTCACTGTAAAGCGACTTGTTGACTTCGACTTAACGGACCCTCATTTCCAAACGACTTCAAATTGTCTGACGTGTTATCTTTGTGCTATTAAGTAAGGAGTCAACGAGATTATCTCCCTATACTCCGTTTACAAATTTGTTTCAGTGTCCGCTGCACACTTGTTCTCGAAATTGTCAATCACTGACTGTTCCAGTCACTGGTTGATCTTTTGAGCGCGATCTAAATCATTCGATTTTTTATTCGTTCTATCGAAACTCAGCGTTCACCACAGACTTGCGTGAACTGGCGGCGATTATTTATGACTGGTGGGTGTCTTCACTATTCCCCTAAGCATTATAGTATGTCGTATTTGGATGCATGACTATCTATATGCCAACACACATGTTTTGTAACACGTTTTCTTCCCGTGTCGATGTGACACAGGAGACAGGTCAATATGGCTTTTCTTGCTTGGTGGTACTAGACTTCAAGGCGTCAAGCACCTGTTGATAAACTCAAGAGCCAATGGAAGATGGCCAACTGAATCACCTTGGTAAATCACCACAGAAACCTTAAAAAAAGCTCTTAGAAAACAGAAGAATCATTTCCCAATCACGACTCGAGTATTCTCATAAATTATTTGCACTTTTTTCATAGATTCATCAGTAAAATTCTCACGTTCATTTGTATGCTAAAGTTTGATGCGTTTCACTATTTGGAATGCTTTCAGTCTCACTGTATCGAAGTTTTTGTATTAATAAAATTCGACGGGACAGATCGACTGCCCCTATAACAACATACGATCTATACCATATTTTATTTTGCTTTATGTATCTTTTTCATATTGAGGTTATTTTTGCGCAGCCACGGTGATGACGGCTTTGTCAATCCCATATTGATCACAACGTGGTGGATTATCCGGTACCTCATTCACCTCTTGCCGCGTTTATCCCCTCCCGTGTGAAGTGAATCTTGCCACTATGTTCCAGGTCTTGTTTGTATGCGACCAGTGCACATCCAGCTGACCAATCGTGTTTGTTGTAAACAGATTAATACCATCCGAGTGAACTCCTCCCCAATGCGTGTGGTCCCTGTCAATCGTCCATAGCTGCCAGGTTCATCCATCTTCCTGCTCTCTGTACTGATCACCTCAAATGGGGAGAGAAAAGCCCTAAGCAAAGGTCGGGGCTGAAAAAGTCCGTGAAACT